AAGTAACTTATTTGGGTGATTGATGATGCAGCTGCAGAGGGTATCCAGTTTTTGACTAGAGAATTAAATGTTAAAGATACTCAAATCTTAATGCAATGAAGTCACAGCAAAATAATACTAGCAGCAGCAATAATGTTCTTTACCATCCCTAACCATGCTAATCTTAAAAAAAAAAAGCAACAGATAGAGTGAAACTTCAGAATGAAAACATACATGGAATGGAGTTCAGCATTCAAAGATTGTATGAACATGCCAAAACTATTAATTCTTTCCTTGCAGCAATGGGAGCAGAAAGGTTTGTTCCACTGGCTCCTGGCCAGATCAGCTTACCATCCACCAACGGGAGAGAATAACCAGAATGAWGTCCCGCCAGCAGTGTCCCGTGCAGTCCCAGCACATGCAAGGATTGTAACAGCTGCCACTGGAAAACAAAGTGGTTGCATTTATCAAGAACAATGAGGGAATTCAAAATCCCTAACAAAGACTCTGAGAAATGTGCAGCATCCAAATTTGCCATGCAGTAGCATGTGTTATGATGACACCTTCCTTAATTAAAGTACAGAACTTCCATTTAGCATCACAACCACAAAGCCAGAAATGTTCCCAAAGAAACTCATGGAGTTCAAAAGGGAGAGAAGATTTTATGCACTGCACATTTGTCACCTGATGCTATCTGTCCTCCCAGAGTTTGTGAACTATATAATCCTACAAAAGGCACCAGTTCTCTGTACATAGTTTCATGAAAATAAGTGTCTAGCAAATGCACACTATACATTTATTATATATTATATATTGCATATCAGCGTGTTACTGATACATTGCAGTCTGGATAGAGTAATAACAGGGTTTACTCCTTCCTCCTTCCTGGAAAAAGTTGTCCAGTGCAAAGGACCAAGTTCTCCAGATCAGCATGGAGACATGGGGATTCACACACGCCAATGCTAAAGTCATGTGTTTTTCTGCATGTTATAGTGGTTCGACTTATCACCTGCTCATCACTTCCTTTTTCACAGAGCACCTCAAAACTTCTTCAGATCCTYGGGAAGTATGATGCAATAGTTAACAATTAAGCAGTGTTTTGGATATCACCACTTTTAAACACAGAAATCTGTACTGGCTAATCAGCTAATAGCTTGCTGATCACTTTCAGAAAATTAGTAAAGTTGCTTTTGATACATGTGAGCACAGCATGTCCATGTGTTGGTGGGTATCCACATCCTCAGGAAAAAAAGGATATAAAGATTCTTGCTCAAAAGGCAAGTTTGTAACTTAAAGGGAGAGTTGAACTTTTAAAACAAATATGTGTGTCTTCAGCCTAAAACAAAAAAAATTATTGTCTTCGATTAAAAGTTTAAGAAAATAGAAAAATATTTCTGATCCCCATACCCTTAAGCTGTTATTTATTTTGCACTGAACTACAGATCCCCCCCAACATATTCTTTTATACTTTTATAATTATTTTTATACATTCTTCTGAACAAATCTATTCCAACACAAGATTAATGCAAAAGGTCATCTCTGTTGTTCCTATTATGTGTTAATCTAAGTCTCTGGTATGAAATGCTGTATTTATAATCCAAAGAAAAGAACAGGGATTGTCTGATGTGCTACTGAAAGTTAACAGATCCCAAGTTTAGACTGGGGATAATGTCATTCTTTGATAAACAACCACTGTTTCCTCAAACCCAGCTGCCTTTGGCATATCAAATCTGTCAGAGGTGCTTACAGCAGTGCATAGGTTATTGTAACACTCAACATATATTCCCAGTGAGAAATGGCACATTACGTACCTTAAATGATTTTCATATTTGGTGACAAATTTAGATTATTATGCACTATATATCATTTCAGAATAAACTTCTATTTCCAGGAGTGATGTAAGGTTAAAGTTATGAAATGATGCCATGTTCCTAAGAAACAATGTTTTCTTAGATGTTAAATTAAAAGCATTGATTCAGAAGTTCAGAAAAGATTCATAAATTTTTTTTTCAAAGATGTGAGTTTTAACTTAGAATATTAATTCATATTTAAGGGTGTAAAAAAAAGAATAGGGATTTTGAATACTCCTGGAAGGGAATACAACTGGATTTCAGAAGAGTTCCTCAGCACACTTGAAAATCAACCAGAATGTACTTAAATGTCCCCCAAAACYCACAAAGACCTTCCACTAGACCAGGTTGCTCAGGGCCCATCCAGCCTGGCATCTGTGCTGTTCTGGACTCTACTGGGTATTAGCTAGCCTACCTCGAAGACTGTGTTTATGCACAGAAGGATTTTAGGTAGGGTTTTAAGGTTGAAAGGATACTAGGGCCAAAAAGAATGAATAGAGAAAATAGGAAGTAAATTTGTAGCAGTTTGTCGTATACAGAAAGCATAAGAAAATAGTTTTCCAGTGGCAATGAGTTTAATGGGATACGTGTTCCTCAAGGACTGCTCTGGAGACAGTATGTGAATAAAGCAGGACAAATCCAGCAGGTGGACTGAAAAGGGAGGAAAAGTTAAAGAGAATGCAAAAAGCAGACCAAGAAAGGGGAAAAACAGCACCAAAAGTATGAATTATAGCAGAGCACATAAACATCCATTATGTGTAGGAAAGAAAGCAGTGATGAAAAACCTCCAGAAAATTAACATAAGGCTTTTCTTTAACCTTCTTGCATTCCTGTTTTCTAGGCTGAGGTTGTAACTAGTTTGGGACAACAAATCTTCTCAGTCCACTTTTGCCAAGGACCTCATTTACAAAGGTTTAACTGGTGTTAAGTACTAATCAAAATAGTGTGATCTCCAATCAAGATAAATTACTCTGACATTTCCCTAGTCTGCTGGGCTCCCCAGATGTGAACTATCACTCCAGAAGCAGTTGCTGGAACACTGTCTGTGATTCAGCTCCCAGTGGAAGGCGTACAACCCACGCAGGCTGTGCCAGTGACTTTCACTCAGATTTACGATCCTGCATCCCRCTTTAGCTTGATGAACAAGGTAGAAATTCAGACAAATAAATCTCTCATCTCACTGTATTTTTCAGGTTCTCCATGTCTGTCTTTCACTGCAATGATTTACTGCAATGATGCCTGGACTGGGAATTTTCCTGTGAGGCGGCAGGTCACAGACAGCAGCTCTGAAGCTGAGCTGTCCTGCCAGTTTCACTTCTCAGAGGGCTGCAGTATTTGAATCCCAGYGTTTGACAATGYCCAACTGGCAGGCTGGCAGTGAGAYAGAGCACAAGYCAGAGCACTTATTTTCCACCAGGTGAACATATGAAAAAGAAAGTTCTGCTTGTTGATTTCATCTTCAATCAGCTAATAGGACATCTTAATTAATGAGTGACTTTTATACACTGATACCAGAAGAAAATRTGAGCTCTGACTAAAGACCTTTCAATGGAGGATTCTGGAATATTTTTTTTTTGAGCTGTGAATTACTCAATACACAAATATTGCAAACACTGTTGCATATTGTTGGTGAGGCCTCCCCCAATTTAAGGCTGCATTTTGAGCACAGTAGGTTATTTGCTGTACAATACAGCACTGCCCAGTGGACAGATGTGTGCTGGTATCTAGAAAACCAGCCATTGAGTCTCTCTCCCCTGTTTGTCAATGCCATATAGATCCGGTGTGCTGACAGCTGCCAAAAAAAAATTGCCTGATGTCACTCTGAATATCTAACTTTCCCTCTGTACTTGGCATTCCTGAGTCCACACCTTGAATCCTGTGTYCAGTTCTGGGCTCCYCACTTCCACACAAACATTGAGATGTKTGAGCAAGTCCAGAGAAGGGCAGTGGAGCTGGTGAAGGGTCTGGAGCACAAATCTTAKGAGGAGCAGCTGAAGGGGCTGGGGGAGGTTAAAAGAAAARGCTCAGGAGTGACCTTATCACTCTCTACAATCACCTGAAAAGAGGCTGCAGCCRGCTGTGGCACAGCCTCTTCTCCCAGGTAASRAGCGACAGGACAAGAGGATATGGCCTCAAGCTGTGCCARGKGARGYTCGGGTTAKACATCAGGAGTAATTTTTTCACGGAAAGGGTTTTTGTTAACACTGGAATGGATCACCCAAGGAAGCTGTCGGAGTAGTCATCCAACKACAAGAAATGACTGGATGTGRCACTCCGTGCMATGGTGGTGYCCGGTCATAGGTTGGACTTGATGGCCTCAGGGGKCTTTTCCAASYTWAATTATTCTGTGGTTCTGTAACTCACCTTAAGCATCTCTTCTACTCCTTGAAGTCTGTGAGGACCTGACTTCCCGAGCAATTCCTAAGGAATCGGTTTTATTTGYTCTGAATTACCAGTCCGTGCGGTTTTCATTCACACAGGTGAATGACAAGTATTTATGGGAGGATTTATTTATTTATGGGGGTTTTATTTATTTAACAGGGCTCAACCCAAAACTCCCGGTCCCCCCGCAGGCCGCACCCTCAGCCCGCCTTGGGGGCGGGGCCTCGCCCGGCTCTGGCCAATCAGCGCCGCGGCCGCCGGGCCCAAGGGCGGGATTGGCGCGGGGGGCTGTCAATCACGTGACGTCACGGACAGGATGAGTGGGCCGGTAGAGGTATGGTCGGGGTCGTTTCTCGCCCGCTGTGCCTGCGGCCGCCGCTGGCTCCGTGTGCCTCCTTTCCGTGGGCATGGGGGGCTCCTGCAGCCCCCGGCACCTGTCCGTGTCCGTGTGCAAGCGTCTGGCTGTCCCGCGTGGCCTCTGCCATCCCCTGATCTGGCATCTGCCACCCTCTCCGGGGGCTGTGGGAGCAGCAGCTCGGCAAGGCCGCTGGGCGCCTTTGGCCTGTGCAGCTCCTCTGTAGCTGAGGAATGCCTTCRGGAGASGGCAGGGGATGGAGCTGTGCTTCAWCYCAGCCCCGCGGGTTTCGKTTTTGCTCTCGGAAGCCACCAYAGRKKCACCTGTGCAGTGCAGTCCCCGTCCATTCCGCAGAGCATCAGAGGTCTTGAGCCTGGTTTAGTTCCTCCTGTGTGCGGATGGAGGCCCTGTGTCCCCATGGCGCTTTGAACCTGTCCTGTCTCCTGTTCCTAGGGAAAGTTCAGTCCTTGACTGTGTGCAGGCTGCTRCTCCACTCAGTGGTGTAATTTCAAAATGTTTGCTAGGCTGTGTCGTAATGGCACATATTGTGGATTAGACTTCTGGTTAGGTCTGGAAGAGGTAGACATAGATCTGTGGAGAGGGTAAGAATCATTTCAGTTTATGCTTTGAAGCTAGATATGCATAATTTTCTAATTCACAACATAAGGCGTAGAGTCATAAAGTGACTTAAGTGACTTGTCCATTAATGTATGGAAAACCTTTAAACCAGAGATGCATTTACTCGTTTAGTACTCATAACAGAAGAAATAAAAACAGGCTGGCAATTTTGGTTTATTTCTTAATTGTATGATTTTTGTTCATAATGTGTAGATATGTAGCCTCAGAACACTTTTTTTTTTTTTTTCTTTTTAAATACTGGATTTTGTTTCATTTCTAGGTTAAAGTGAAAATACCTTTTGGAAACAAATACCTGGACGCTGTCTTTTCTGTCCCAGAAAAGAAACCAACATATGGAGTAATTCTCACTCATGGAGCTGGAGGAGACATGAATTTCCCTCACTTAGTGTCCTTGGCAGCCTACCTTGCATCCCATGGAGTTCTGTGCCTGCGGTTTACTTGTAAAGGCCTTAATATTGCTTACAGGACTAAGGCTTTCAAAACAGTTGTGGTAAGGAGTGACCAAGTTCTGCTTCTTGTCTTCCAGGTTTCTTAAATTATGGCCAGCTACTACTCAAGCAACAGTGGGAAAATGAGAACTGGTGTTTAGCTAAATGGAGCACTGTGTGTGAACAGAAACAGCAGGAGCAATTCTTAGATGGGCAACAGCTGGAACAGCTGCCACGAGTGTGTGGGTTTGAGTTCRGGGAGAAAGAAAAGCTTGACAAAAAGTATGGGTGTTTAATGGGAAAACAGAGCTTAAAACTTAGAGAAAAAAATGGACGTGTTTAGGATGGAATCAAGAGGTAGGTGATCTGTGAGGGGAAGGAGATGAAGAGAGACACCTTTGGAAACAGTTTGGAGAGAAAGAAGTTGATCTGAGAATTGTGCTGGGCCGTAGAGGGTTGGGAGCTGGGAGTGGTAGACTTTTGGGAAAGAGTAGGGGACTGAGTCACAGCAGTATTTGAAGCAAGAGATATTGGGATTAGCATATGAGAGCCTTAGAACCTAAATAATCTTTGATTCTAAAATCAGTTCAAAGTGTTATCTGCATGTGTTTATCTCTTTCTGCTGCGACCTTATTAAAGATGTCCCTGTGTACGAAGGTTTTGCCAAAATGAGCACCTTTTGRTGCAAGAGTATCAGTTTAAGAGTATCGCCCAATCTGGAGCATGTAGGAAGGAGTGGAAACTTTTTCCTGATTATCTAGCAACTTCTGGTGAGGCTTAGGAAGTGCTTTGCATTGTGCATGAGGCATTTTTGTAAGGGAACAAAGCCCAGTTTTTAAGGAATTCATTTGTACAATGTCATGATTATATGTACATTAATTAGAAGTCAGACTTTGTTGTCTTTAATGTAGATCTGTTCTCCATTCTTTTCGGAAGGAGCATAATATTGTTAGTTTATGTTCATATACTGCTGTGTAAAAGTAATTTTGAGGCCTCTGCTAAGATAGCATCAGATTAGTTATCTCCTCAAATCTGAAAAATTGTTGCTGAATTTTATTTTTTCTGTCGGGCTTAGCTCATCATTTCACAAACTTAATTGGAAATACATAACCTCAATGAAGGGCTTTTTTGCTAACCTGCTTTGCCTTTTGATGGGCCAAGAGTGTGCATGGGGTYTGTTACTATAACTGAGTTGATACATAGTAATCACTTATGTTTTGGTAACATGATAGGGCATCTGATATTTAAGATTTGCTGAGAGTAATGTGAAAGCGATTATGTTTATGTTGTTGCTGCAAAATGTTATGAAACCATTTGTGTGATAAAACCCAAGAAAGCACCATGTATATATCTGTTCTTTGTTTAATCTGCAGTGCTGAGGAGCTTCCCATTTTCTGTTTAGCAGCTACAAACAAAGAGAAGAGATCCCCATCTGCCTTAATTGTSATTTATAATACTTCTCTTTCTCTTATTTCTTTAGGAATACTTAAGACTTTCTGATGATTATAAACTTTCTGGGGTTTTCCTTGCAGGTATTGTTTTTATTATCAATAATTTTCTCTCTTATGCTGTCTCTAATAATAGCAATCTGTAATTATTCCAAGTCTATCCCACTTTGGTGAGAAGCAAATGAACCCTCCTTATGATACCATAGATCTTGCTGCAAAGGAGGAAAGAAAGAGCAATAGATTGTATTTTCCAGGTACTTTGGGAGAAAACTTCCTTGTCACTAATAAGTTACAGGGCCTGAGTTTTCTGGTTATCCAGGTGCACTTTTGAAATGTAGATCTTGAAAAGTTCTGATTACTGATAAATGGAAGACAGTTTTGCCGAAACAGATTTTGGTGATTAAAACCTAACAGCAGATAAGAAAAGTCAGCTATATTATGTGAAAAGGGGAGTAGATGGGGGTGATTAGGAATATCTTGATAGGGGAAATTCTAAATTTTCTCTAAAGGAAACCAAATCCTGCTGCTATAAGAATCAGCCACTTCTAATACTCAGTTACAGAGCATTGCCAGSTCATATGCCTCCTCTTTGAGGAAATACTTTGATATTCCCTTGGTGTTATTGACTGACCTCATGTTACAAGTTCACACTTTTTTTCCCTCCTTTCTACTTTTACTTTTAGGCTGAAGTTCAAGGTGTGCATAAACACTTGCTGGATTTGTTTTGTGAGCAAGGTGCACAGAACTTTGCYATGAATTTGAGCAAACTGAAGTTGCATGAAAAGTATCGTGGCTATCTGAAAATTCCAGGCTCTGGAGCATAGGACCATTCCGTCTCTTTCCCTTGTCCCCAGGATGGGCTATTGTTCCTTGCAGTATTGCAAAGGATYCCTCCCCATTTATATTTTCTTTCTTTTCCCCTTTTTAAAACAGATGTAAATATGAATATAGCTAGACAAATACCTTAGCAGAAAATGTTAMAATTATGATTAATGTTTTTATGGAGTAGAACATCCCTAGCATTTTGTATCACTGGTGCACTGAAATGCACTCAGTTRGATTGATTTGGGGAGTTGTTTACTAAACGAGAACGTAGATGAGGTGACAGCAGATCCTTCTTTCCTTTTACATGGGAGAAAGGCCGTTCCATGGGCTCACGAGCTGCTGCTKCTGTGATACGTCAGCTGAGCCAGGATGATGATGATGATGGTTTCATTCAAGGTCTCGTGTGTTTATCTTACCCACTGCATCGACCAAAACTGCAGTCCAAGCTCCGGGATGAAGATTTATTACTTATCAGGTGTCCAGTGCTGTTTGTCTCAGGATCAGCAGATGAGATGTGTGAAAAAGTGAGTACCCTTGTAAATMCTGAAAGGGCAGTCTGGAGGAGCAGGAAGGAGCCTCAGTGATGCCTGTATTTCACCTGATTAATAGCCTTCCCTAAATAGGTGTCTTCTGAAGGAAGCCTTGGGTAAGAAACTTCATCAGACACAAGGAAGCCTGGCAGTGCTTTCTTTTGCTGCTTAAAACTTAATGGATCATGCTTGATCTTCCACTTTAGCATGGTCATCTTTGGGGCACTGAAATAGCACTGCATTGAATGGTTTTGATAGGATTGTACAAATTAAAAGTGCCCTATGGAAAGAGTGAGTTACTTGCTATTTTGTTTTAACCATTTCAAGTTACAAAACCTATGGTGCCACCAATTTCACATTGGTCACATTTTCATGGCAAATTCTTCTAGAAAAGCAGTTCTACCTGCAARTCAGGGTTCTGTGGGGAAAAGAGGTATTTTTGTAGAGATGAAGAGCAGGTGTGCAAAGGGAAGGAAACGGTGCTGTTCTGCCTTACTTTCTTGCAAACAAGTATCTGTTCTTGAACAAGTCAGCTTGAATATGGGGGTGTATGCAATTGGCATTTTCCGTGCTTGGACAGTTTCTAAGGAGTCATAGTGCTTTTATGAGCAGTTGTCACCRAAATTAGTCAGGCTAGTAACCAGCAGCCTCTCAGAGTGCCCTCTTAATKGGGAAATCTCTGACTTTGTGAGCTGGTTCTTGGATCTTTTGCTCAGAAATTTCCTAGTCCCTAAGGAATTACATTGCTAGTCAGCCTCTACAGACAAATCTGACTTGAGTTCTGTCACTGCCACCATTCTGTTTTATTGCCACCACTACTCTCTGACAGTAAAAATTCCTGTCAGAATTCCTGAATCCTGAAAAAGGATTCCTTTGTCAGTATGGGGAGGGTGCCTGCACAGGGTTGCAACCTGTGCAGCTTTTGAAGTTCTAATTTTCTGCTGTTCTGTGTCTTGAGGGAGGGCAAAGCTTTGAGCAGATCCCAGTATTCATATCCTGAGCAGACAATACATCCCATCTTCCTATCAAGGTATTTTTCATGTACACACAGATCCATTTGGTGTCACACAGATCCATTTGGTTTTTAGGAGCTGTCTATTATGCATTATACAGGCAAAGCAAGAGACATCTAGGAGTTACAGTTTGTAGCAGCTGATTCTCTAATATTTGCATTCTTACTTTCTCCATAGCAATTGCTAGAAGGTGTGGTGAGCAAAATGAAAGCACCGAAAAAAATCCATTGGATTGAGAAAGCTAACCATGGGATGGCAGTCAAAGGACGAACAACAGACAATGTCATGGAAGAAATAAATGCCCAAGTTTTTTCTTGGCTTAGAGAGAATGTTCATCTGGACCAGAAATAATTTGCAACATTTAAGCAGTATCTTCATTTAGTTTTTCCTGAATGTAGCAAATAAGAGATTTGTTATTTTTGAGAGGCATCGTTTTTTAAAACTGATCTTTTCAGAGCTCCCAAATGCAAATGCAAATAAAGCTTTCTATGAATGAAAAAAAATGCAAAATAAGAACTTCTTGAAGGACAGAAAATATATCCTGGCAGCATTGTTTTCTGTGTTTCAGTGCAAATAACCATATGCAACACTTCAGAATACAGAGCACTAAGTAAATGCTTTTGACCAMTATTTGAGGTAATATACTGGAAAAAATCTACTTGGACAGCATATGTTTAGGGGGTCTTAAATTTATAAGTATATTGCTGATGCTGTATGTGCTTGCAATTAAAACCTGCTGCATTGTAGGATTCTGCCAGCACGGCCCCTGAGGCTGGTGAACCTGGTGTACTGTGCCTTGCTGTATCCTGGCACTCACTCACAGTGTGCTTCAAAACCAGTGAGGCAGGGAGAGGAATCTCYGGTCATTTACAGTGTCTGCCACCTTAGGGAGCAAGGATCTGCCTGTGTGGGGAGGAAGAGGTAATGCAGGYACAGCATTGTGGGGCAAGAATATGGGTCACAGTTTTGAGAAGACCCCTTCAGCAATGTCCTTTGTGTAGAGGACTGATCACAGAGCCCCTCAAATAAATCAAAACTGATAGAAGACAAATTGTGTTTAATGATGGAAGAATTCCTGGAGCAGGAAGCAATGTGATATGTAAGACAAGGCTTCTGTCCAGAGGGCTCTGAAGAGGCAGGCCAGGGTCTGGACCTTGTTACCCATTAGCAGGAGCAACTCAGGTCCTTGCTTGAGCTCTGACACTGGAGATGTCACTGGAGATGTTCCACTGGATGGAACACTCTGTGTATGCTGGCAGCTGCAGCCTTCCTCATTAGGGCTGTGAGTAACTTGTTGGTATAACMAAGCTCACAGCAATATTGGAATTGTGTTTTTCCTTCAGGTTAACAAGACTTACCATGAGACCCACAGCATTGTCCTTGAGATTCTCTCAGAAGGGGCAAAGTTAAGGTCTGAAAAAGATGCCTTTGGATAGATGGGGTGGGGGGAGCAGATGTACAACTCTCATGTTTCCTTTTTTGCAGAACATGAGTAAAAAGTATCTGCATTTCATTTCCAAGGTAACTCAGGACAGGAACACATGACTGATACAAACATAGGTTTTATTTTAAAAAGAAATTATAAAAATGTGTTTGAACAAGGCTCTGCCACCTTATCTGCATGATAAAAATTTTGGGGTGCTTTGTTTTCTTCCATATGTAGATCAGGAAATGTAAACTTGAAAAAATCCACTGACATTATCCACAGGCATACTAATCCAGATTTTTCCAACTTCTTTAAGGAGACAGTCTGGATGTAGGTAAATACTGAAAAATATTATTTACTTCTCTCAGAGTTCATCTTTGGCCTGCAGTCAAGAAAGAAGTAACATGTTTCAGTTAACTGGAAGCTTAATTTTTCACTGTCTAGTCCTGCAAATACATCAAGAAATGTTTCTAAGTTCGATAGGTGTTAATGGCCTGGCCTGATAACTGATACTGTGGGGCACTGAGCAGCCCAGCTCCAGCGGGGTTGAACAGGAACTGAAGGCACCCAGCACTTTTCATTTAACTCTGCATGTACTGTACCTTTCTTCGGTGGCAGGTGCATGGGAAAAGGTCATCATCAGGCTGCTGCACCTTCTCCATCCCATCTCTGATTTTTGGCTCRCTCACTTGCAAGTTGGCATATTCCTAGTTTTAAAAAAGGGAAGAGATCGTTAATTCATAAATTTTTTAGAGTGTACATCTGGTTGCCAATACTGCACCAACTCAGCTGAGCAATTGTGTAAAAACTCTGGGACTACACAGTCCSGTCTTGCAGACTCTGTCACAGACAGGATGAGCAAACACTCAACTGCAGACGGGAGCCCYTTCGGGTGCCTCCCAGGAGTTTGGTATCTCGGTGTTAATGCACAGATATTTTCAGCTGTGGTTCACAGYGTGTGCGTCTGATGTGGAATTCTTTGATCATTGTGGGCAACATATTCTGGCAGATTAGATCAAGATTTATGGGATCCGACTGCCTCTCAAAGAGCCAGCATAGTCTTAAGGGGTTTCATAGGATAAAATTGAATACAATGTTTGTAAACCAAATGAAGATTTTAATTGCTGCTGCCTGCTTCATGGTTTCAAGTACTAGACTGGCCAATTTCCAGCAGCTCTGTTGCCCTGAATTCTTGCTGTGTAATTTCTATTTTTGTGCTAGTAGCCATTAAAAATATACTGACCTGGAAAAGTTTGAAATAGTAACAAAAAATATGGTCTCCCATGAGATTGTTTCTTGCAAATTCTTGCCCGGATTTTGCAATATTTTTTGCCTRTCAAAGAAAAGGAAAGTTGGGTTTATTTTTTTTATTCCACAAAACTGTATTTATTTTAGTGTGCCCATGTTGATTGTGGAGTTACATATGTTGTTGACAGTTTAGGATAACTCAAATAAACATTSTTTTTAAAATTTGAGGCATTGTTATGAAAATACAATTTTTTCCCCAAAGTTCAATTTGATTTCAAATTAAGGGCAATATTATGTATTTTAAAATGGGGTTTTTTTAATTGGTAGAGTTGATGAAAATAATTTTCAAATCCTTTTAATATATTTTTAAAAAATTTCCTTTAAAGAAATGCAATTTTTGTTCTCTTCTAGAAATGTTACTGAGTACTTCCAAATATGTATTTACCTCTTCATCATGATCTTTTGCCCACTGTAATTTTTCTAGTAGATCACTCAGGTCACTTTTAAATGGGATGTAATGTTTCCAYGGCTGCAGCTCATTATAAAAGTGCTCATAGTAGATGGAGTCTTGCTTTAGCACCACACTGTTTCCTGCTAGTAGATAAGGCAATCTGTATGCTGCCACTGTGCCATCAATATTAATTTGGTATTTATACTGGAAAGAAAAGGATCAGAAGTTATTAAAAACCACAAGATCCCCAGTGGCTTGGTTAGGTTATATTATTCTGAGGGCACTGGTGTTACTGACTTGCCGATATTGAGACATGTAGGACTGGCTAGGCAAGCATCAACGTCTAAGAAGCTTTTATTATCTAGTATGGAATTCATCACAGTGCAGGGTACAGAGCTTCATCAATTAAGTTCTCCAGGAATTCTTAAGACGCTCATCCTCGGATGTGAGGGTAGATGTACCGCTTTATCCACCGATTTTCCCACTATGTTAGTTATGTTAGTAGTCCTGATCGCTGAATCAGGAAAAAGAAATAAAAAGGAACTTGAAATTACATAGATTACACAAGGTTCTACAGAACCTTTAGATGTAAATCACACGTTATTATCCTCAGTGTAAGAGCTACATAGCAGTTAATCCTAATGGAGGCATGTTTAGTCATGATTGTTACTGGTGCTATCCTGAAAAACTAAAAATCACTTTATTATCAATAGTACATACTAATTTATTTGATAATGGGGAACAGTGAGAACTGAGTTCTATGAAAAATGATTCGTGACTTACCTTAAAAAAATCGAAAAATGAAATATGCTTAACAATAGGGCCATAGAGGCTTTCATCATGTTTAAAGAAAAAAAAGTTTGTGAAAGCAGCATCTATGATTTCTGGGTATTTCCTGCTGAGTTTTACAAGCTCAAGCCTCTCTTTGCGGCTGTCACGTCCTCTCCAGAAGGCTGTGGTATTCTTGTCTTCCCATGATGGGCCAGTGTTTGCTTGGACTGACATCATATCCAGACTGACTCTGGAGCAGAAAGAAGTGATTTAGTAGTGAAGCCTACTGGAAGCTCTTTAAAGTGCAGTTACTTAAAAGAGTTCACAGTACTGAGGAATGATGAAGCTAAGTCATGAGCACACCATGTGTTACTGTATCAGTAATTTGCAGCAATAGAAACAGATAATGAATGTTAAATTCACATGTGTGTGGCATCACAGCATCAGTTCAACAAAATGGCATGTGGAAAGAGTACCTGTCAGCTGTCATGGAAAAAAGTAGGTAAAAGTGGATATGGTTGCCAGACAGGTAAAAGTGATGCAAAGTAGTATAACTTGCTTAATAAAACATATTTCACATCCATAAAAATGTTGAGAAATTAAAACACATAAGCTGGAAGGGCAAGAGATAGCAAATTTAGAAAAAGTCTTGATAAAAAATGGAACCTGAACTAAATGCAGTGAAATGATAAACAAGTTCAAGATGGATTACAAAGATCTCTTAGAAGCTGCCTATGTAATGTTCCAAGACAGAACAGAGCAGTTGCCAAAGCTAGTTACGATCAGCAATCAAAGTGGGAGATGGTTGCTCCTAGTTTAAGAATTCTAGCTATGTTAGGATTTGAAAGGTACACAAAAAAAAGGATTCTAGCAAAATCAGGAGAGAAAGACACCTGGCTAGTTGTCAACATGTTCATGGGGGGAGAAACAGAGCAAATAAATCAAATGTCTRCCCTTGAAAAACTTTTAAGCATTATTTTCAGTGATTTGACCATGTTTAGATTAATTTTGATTTTTGAAATGAAGCAGTGAATTATAATGTTGATACATTGATTACATAGTTACTGCCTACTACACAGGCATACAGTACAGGGGGGTGGCTGGGCGCAGTGCCAGTGTCTCAAAGAGTAAATGAAAAGAGTTAATACACTGTTAACACACCAATCTCCGTGGAAGGTCATTTGCTGTGAATTTTATGAAAAGCTAAAGCCATTTCTTACCGTCCCATAGTCTCCAAAACTGAGTCTGTTAAGTCATATGTTGGCATAACAATGTCTTTTGACTCACTGGACCCACACCATGAGAAGATTGGGTGCAAGTTCTGTGGGGGCTTCCTTTTCTCCAGAGGCCAGTCCCCCAAATTAACAAAAAATTCTACATCTGGCATTTTCACCTAAATGGAAGCAAAATAGGCACAAATGCAGTTTAACACAAAACAGTATTCTGCGGGCATCCTGCATTTTTAAAACAACCTCACCTAAGAGAAAAAAATAGCCAGGTACTTAATATACTTAATGTAAATGTAATAAAAGATTGAAGTTTAAAAACATGTTAGAAGTATTGAGACCACAGAGTAAAGCCTACAAAATAATATTAAAAAAAAMTATTTGTATGAAGTCACATCAGGCAGAGGAGAATCTTTTTTAGACAATGGCTCCCTGTTCTACTTTACATGATTGGCCACACAATCTTTTTATCAGGCTAGCATTGGGACCTAGTCAGCAACTGTATGGTTCCAAGGTAAGTTGGATCACACTGTTAGTGTATGGGCAATTGCTGTTGGGTGGTAAATTAACTTCCTGTCACATGAGTGATCTGATTCACCCTATGTCTGCAGGATGCTTAAATCCAACAGAAGAAAAGAGACAGCCATGATGGGAAGACCACATTTAGTCAGTGCTGCAGTTAATTATTTAGCATAACATCCTCTATTATTTACAGTATTTGGTAGTATGGAACCACACCTGAAATCACTGTCACAGCCAAAAAGCAAACAAAATACTGTTGATGGCCAGGAAGCAGGACAGAGGGCATAATTTTGCTCCTATATGAAACTGTGATGCACCCCCATATTAAGCATTGTGCATGGTTTGGATATTTTCAAGTGAAGAAAAAGCACAAAGAAAAGAAACTTTTCCTAAGAAAGGATAAGCTGCCTTGTGAGGGAAAACTCAATATGGTGGGCCACTTCAGTTTGGAAAGCAAAAGGCAAAACATGACATATGGCTGAGTTTTACAAAACCCTGAAAGTACTTATAAGGTCAGTGTAGAACTGATGTCCTATCTCAGTTTACTCTCTTCATTTCATTTTTAAAAAATATAAATCTCCCTCAGTTGCCTCTTTCAAAGCAAAAGAAATTAATAATTTGCGAAATATCACACACTCTTCTAATAGTGGAAGATATTCCTCTATTTAAAGGGTGTTTCCCACATGTYCTAATGCTCAGCACTACACTTCATTGCTACAGTGCCATCTAATGGTTATAACGGCCAAAAACCCCTACAAATCGTATTTTCTACACATCCTCAGTGGCACAATCACTCAGCAGCTTAAATCTTCTCCAACCAACTATCTACTGTCACTCAGTGACACTGTCCTAATAGAAATTTTCAGGTATTTAATGAAAACTGTGCTTTCTATATCTGTAAACAG